GAAGTGTCTTAATTGTTATGGTTGTGCTCCTCATTGAGTAGTATTTGTAGATTTATTTGGTCTTTGAGGAATAGGGTCTTTTGAGTGAGCACCCTGTCTTATTTTGTTTCCGGATATATATTCTTATAGCATTTAATTAGGAAAAGGTAGGCACACTAGTCAAATTTGTCTGCAATTTATCAAATGTCAGATTTTTTCATCTGTTGTTTACCCCGTCATTTTAGAATATGTGCCATTCTTCATCTGATGCAATGGATTTATGGAATATTACTATTAATATATGCTGCCAAATTTAGAAAGGAGGAAAAATTATGCCACTTTTCTGTTGTACCAAGTTACATTTTAATTCTAAATTTGGCAATCTTCTGAAAAGGACATTTCAATGAAAACTATATATGACTATAATAAATACAACATAAGGACAGAATTTAACCAACATTTTTTAGGACACTGATAAGTATCCCCCAATGTGCTGTAAATATGAAACCTATTTTCGTGCAGTCTGTGTGGGGTCTCATCCAGGAAGGTTCTGGCTGGAGCTGAATAAACAAAGCGATTTAAAGGATCACTATAGTGTCAGGAAACCAAACTCATTTTCTTGACACTACATAATCCTTGGGGCACCCTCACCCTCAGGGTCCCCCTCCCGCTGGGCTGAAGGGGTAAAAACCCTTAAGCCACTTACCTTAATTGAGCGCACTGGCCTCCCCTTCGGTACTGGTGACCTCTCCTCCCCCGCCGTCAGCTCCGGAGTGGAGTGTAATGAGCATGCGTGGCAAGAGCCGCGTGCATTTTAACAGTCCGTAGGAAAGCATTTCTCAATGCTTTCCTATGGACGTTCTGCACGCGGGATGCGAATTTCGCATCCAGCGTCACAGAAGCGTCTCTAACGGCTGTCAGGAGGACAGCCACTAGAAGTTGGATTAACCCTGCTATGTAAACATAGTTTCTTTGAAACTGCTATGTTTACACGTGAAGGGTTAAAACCTGAGGGACATTGCACCCAGACCAATTCATTAAGCTGAAGTGGTCTGGGTGACTATAGTGTCCCTTTAAGCACTAACTGGCAAGAGCATTGAGCGGTGAGACTGTAGGGGGCATAATCTATACACCAAAACTGCTTCATTAAAGGGGACACTATAGTCACCTGAACAACTTTAGCTTAATGAAGCAGTTTTGGTGTATAGAACATGCCCCTGCAGCCTCACTGCTCAATCCTCTGCCATTTAAATCCCTTTGTTTATGAACCCTAGTCACACCTCCCTGCTTGTGACTTTCACAGCCTTCCATAAACATTAATAGCTTGCTAGACCCTGCAAGAGCCTCCTGTATGTGAGTAAAGTTCAATTTAGAGATTTAACTCCTAAATGACAGTGAATTGAGCAGTGAAATTGCAGGTGAATGATCTATACACTAAAACTGCTTTATTTAGCTAAAGTAATTTAGGTGACTATAGTGTTCTTTTAAGGTAAAGTTGTTTTGTGTCAGAGTATTACCCCTTTATCCTTTAGTCAGCACAACAAAGCTAGACATTTTTAATGACCTCTGTAATTATTAACAATTACACACTGCTACAAATAAACCACATGTATTGCAAGTTTTAAAGCAACCTCAGGAACAAGTAGAAGTTGTGGTCCTAGCCTGAACACAAGCTTCTGAGGAAAACAAAATCACATCAGTTTAATACCTTGTATTAATATACTGCAAACGTTGTCCACTGCTTTGTAAAGAAACTGCACAACTTCCAAAATGAAGCACTAAGGACACTGGACAATAGGAAACCTATGGACGTGTAAACAGGCAGCACCAGAAAAGTTGTTTGAACTCAGTCAGCATGAAGTGGGTAATTACATCAACTGAGATGAAAATGAATAGTTGATTATGATAAAAGTCACACTGTTTAGAATTCCATTCTAAAAGTAAAGGGTTATTCTAAGCATTGTGCGCTTTGAGTCTGTATGTGTAGCATTTCATTCTGACCCCTCCAGCAGCATCATAGGAAAGTCATTAAAAGACACTATAGGCACCCAGACCACTTCAGCTCATTGAGATGGCCTGGGTGCAATGTTTACATTAAAACCCCTTCAGTGATTTACCAGTATCCAGCGCCGATGTCCCTCAGCACTGGTTCAGGGTCCGCACACGTCATCCGGCGGGGTAGATCTATTGTGCAGCAATGCCGCGTACGCACATTAGACCTCCTCATAAGAAAGCATTGTAAATTGCTTTCCTATGGGGATTTCAGCGATGCTGGAAGTCCTCACATAATGTGAGGACGTCCAGCGACGCTATAGCACACAAAATGTGTGCTATAAACCCGCAAGTGCCCTCTAGTGGCTGTCTAGTAGACAGCCACTAAAGGAGGAGTTAACCGTGCAAGGTAAATATTGCAGTTTATGAAAACTGCAATATTTACAGTTGCAGAGTTAAGGGTAGTGGGAGTTGGCACCCAGACCACTCCAATGGGCAGAAGTGGTCTGGGTGCCTGGAGTGCCCCTTTAACCCCTTAAGGACTGGACTGTTTTTGCGATGTTGTACATTTGCGACCAGGCATATTTTTACACTTTTGTGGTGTTTGTCTTTGACTGTAATTTTCCACACTCATTTACGGTTCCCATACAAATTATATTATTTTTTTTTCAGGACAAAAGGGGCTTTCTTTACATACCATTATTTATATAATCTCTTGCATTTTAATTTAAAAACAATAAATATATTGGAAAAATTGAAAAAAATACAGGTTTGACTTTTACTTGAAAAATCTTTTACTAATCTACAAAAGCGAATGAAAAAACTGCTAAATAGATTCAAAATTTTGTCCTGAGTTTAAAAATACCCAGTGTTTACGTGCTTTTTTGTTTTTTTTCATGTTATAGGGCTATAGGTACATACATTTTTAAAATTTATCAATAGTGACATTGTAACACTATTATCTGTCATAAATCTCTGAATAACACCCCATATGTACACATTTTTTTTTTTTTTTAAAGTAGACAACCCAGGGTATTCAATATGGGGTATGTCCAGACTTTAGTAGCCACTTAGTCGCAAACACTGGCCAAAGTTAGCGTTCATATTTGTGTGTGAAAAAACTAAAAACAACTAAATTGAATGCTAATTTTGGCCAGTGTTTGTGACTAAGAGGTTACTAAAAAAGACTGGACATACCCCATTTGCAATACCTTGGGCTGTCTTCTTTTGCAAATGGTATGCCATCATGGGGTTAATTCTCATTCCTGGGCTACCATATGCTCTTAAAGGCAACGTAACCAACCTGGCCATTTTCAATGTAAAAATATTTGACCCATATATTTGACCCTGTAACTTTCAAAAATGCTATAAAACCTGTACATGGGGGGTACTGTTTTACTCGGGAGACATCGCTGAACACAAATATTAGTGTTTAAAAACTGGAAAAAAGTATCACAACAATTATATCATCAGTAAAAGTGCTGTTTGTGTGTGAAAAATGCAAAAAAAGTCACTTTCGCTGACAATATCATCGCTGTGATATGTTTTACTGTTTTGAATCACTAATATTTGTGTTCAGCGAAGTCTCCCAAGTAAAACAGTATCCCCCATGTACAGGTTTTAAGGTGTCGTAGAACGTTACAGGGTAAAATACAGTGCTAACAAATTAAATTTTCTGGAATTTCGGCCTGGGTTGGCAGGCAGGTCCCTCAAATAGCAATCAATAAAATTACTTAATTATGTAAAAATATTACATAAACACGCACGTAGAATTTAAATATATATGCATATTTATATATTTGAAGTCTACGTGTATATTTATATAATTATTTATGTAATTTTGTATATGGACATGTATATTTTGTATTTTTATTTATATATACATAGATATATATACAATTTAATTCTAAGTGTATTTAGATATAAATATATATATTAATTTTAAAATACAGTTAGAATAAAATTTCATATAGATATATTTTTTCAATTTTTATTATTTAAAAAAATTTTTATTTAAATTACTTATTTATATTTTATTATATATATATAGTTATTACATATATATATACACACGTGCGTAATTTAATTATAAGTGTATTTTTATATTAATATATGTACATATTAATATAAAAATACACTTAGTATGACCTTGTATGATTATATATATATATACACATATATATATATATATATACATATATACACACACACACATACATATACATACATACATACATACACACATTTTTTTTTATTAACACTAACTTTATTTTATTTTTTGATTTTTACACTAGCAGGGAGACTGCCTGTCAGCACAGGCAGTCCCCCTGCAGGTAGATACACAGACACCTATTGTGACCAAGTGATCGCTGTGTTAAGCGATCACATGGCCACAGGGGTCCTAATCCAGTGGGGGGAGCAACGCTGATCGCCACTGGGGGAACGACGGCGATCAGGTAAGTAACTAGGACCGTTAGGACGGTTCAGGACCGTCAGCGGTCGGCAATGGGAAAATGCCGATTATGGTCCTGAACTGTCCTCGGTCCTTAAGGGGTTAAGGACTGAGCCAAATATACACGGTTTAATCAAAATAAAACAAACAAAACTTGGAACTATATGTCTGTTAAACCGTAATTCACCTCTCATATTAAGTGCACCCACACTTATTAGATATTTTATTAAAGGAACACTATAGTCACCAGAACAACTACAGCTTATTGAATTTGTTCTGGTAAGTAGAATCATTACCTTCAGGCTTTTTGCTATTGACACGGTCTCTTCAGAGAAAATGCAGTGTTTACATTACAGTCTAGTGATAACTTCACTGGCCACTCCTCAGATGGCTGTTAGAGATCATTCCTGGGTCATGTCTGCCTAAAATGCATCCAAACATTCCGTGTCTCCTCCCTCTGCATGTAGACACTGAACTTTCCTCATAGAGATTCATTGATTCAATTCATCTCTATGAGGAGATGCTGATTGGCCAGGGCTGTGTTTGAATCATGCTGGCTCTGCCCCTGATCTTTCTCCTTGTCAGTCTCAGCCAATCCTATGGGGAAGAATTGTGATTGGATCAGGCCACCACTTCTGATGTCAGCAGACAGCTTATTATTCTGAGGCAAACAGCATGCAGAACTACAGCTTCAGTGTTGAATACAGTAAGATTTTGCTATATTTATGGAGGCATGAGGGGCCTGGGGGTGAGGGATCTAGATGGTGGTTTTAATACTATAGGGTCAGGAATACATGTTTGTGTTCCTGACCCTATAGTGATCCTTTAAGGAGAAACAGGGCTTTCATTTAACAATTTCATAGGAATAAAATATTAAAAAAAGGAAATTGAGATTTATTTATTTTTAGTTCTGCATGACATTTTAACTGTGAATGTAAAATAATGTTTGCTTTTACTGCAATAAAATACACCTATTTGTATTCAGCGATGTCTTACGTGTAAAACAGTACCCCCATGTACAGGTTTTATGGTGTTTTGGAACATTACAGGGCCAAATATATCATGTTAATCATTTTTTAAGTTTTCACATTGAAATTTGCCAGATTGGTTACATTGCAGTTGCCCTCTCCCTCCCACCCACCATCCCAAATCCTTCAGTGACTTACCTGTATCCAGCACCGATGTCCCTCGGCACTAGGTCAGGGTCCGCCCATGCTCCTCCCCCGTCGCCATCCGGCGGGGGAGACCTTTTGAGCATGCGCGGCGGGGGAAGACCTAATATGCATGTGCATTAGACCTTCCCATAGGAAAGCATTGAATAATGCTTTCAATGCTTTCCTATGGGGATTTCAGCAACGCTGGAGGTCCTCACATAGCGTGAGGATGTACAGCGACGTTATAGCATACTTTCCGTGTATAAAGAACACGGAAGTGTTCTCTAGTGGCTGTCTAGTAGACAGCCACTAGAGGAGGACTTAACCCTTCAAGGAAAATATTGCAGTTTATGAAAACTGCAATAATTACACTTGCAAGGTTATGGGTAGTGGAAGTTGGCACCCAGACCACTCCAATGGGCAGAAGTGGTCTGGGTGCCTGGAGTGTCCCTTTAAGGGGTTAAACTAGGTTTCATATATAAATATTTGATGTGACATGAAAGCCCATATTATCATGAACAAAACTGTATATAAGTGGGTGCAATTCATATGAAAGAGGCAAATTATGGTTGAACAGACAAGTACAGTAGCTCAAATTCTAGGTTGTGTTTTGGTTCAGATGTTGGAGAATTGCCTCTGTCCTTAACGCCGTTACGGCGTTCTATGCCGTCCCGCATTAAATGGGCTTTAAAGCCGTTGCGGCGGCATAGAACGCCGTAACAGCTTTGAGCCCTGGAGCCTCTGGGATACTTACCTTCCCGGCGCTCCGCTTCGAGAGGACTGCCTGACAGCTCAGGCAGCTCTCCCATGCCAAATTAGGCCCCCGGGGGCCATGTGATCGCTCTCAAAGAGCAATCACATGGCCCCCTATAGCTGGCTGTGGATCTGCCTGCAGGGGGACTGTCTGAGCTGTCAGACAGTCCCCCTGCTGGTGGAAAGTGAAAAAAAAAAAAAAAGTTAAAATAAAAGTGTGTGTGTGTATATATATATATATACACACATTATATATATATATATATTATATATATACACACACACACACACACATCTTATATATGTAACGTCATACATAGTGTATTTTAATGTTAATATAAGTACATATATTAGTATTAAAATCCACTTAAACTGACGTTACATAAAAGATATATATGTGTGTGTGTGTATATATATATATATATATATATATATATATATATATATATATATATATATATATATATATATATATATACACACACACACACGTATATTTTATATATATACACACATGTATAATTACAAGAATAAATAAATACAAATAAATAAAATATTTTTAAAACAAATTAAAATTATACATACATTTGTAATTTCATTCTAACTATATTTTGTTTTTTATATATATATATGTATGTATGTGTGTGTGTGTGTGTGTGTGTAACAAAATACACTTAGAATGACAATCTATATTTAAACTACAAATAACCGTGTGTGTGTGTGTGTGTATATATATATATATTTACATAAATGATTACATAAGTATACATGTGGAATTGAAATATATATATATTAAAATTCTATGTGCATATTTAAGTAATCTTTAGCATAATGTGATTTTATTCATTAAAATTTGATTGACATGCCTGACAACCCAGGCAGAAAGTGCAGAGAATCAAATTCGCAAGCACTATATTTAACCCCTTAAGGACGGAGCCAAATGTACACGTTGTGAACAAAACAAAATGTAAACAAAACCTGGCATTTGCGCTACATGTCTGTCCAACCGTAATACACCTCTTTCATAGTAAATGCACCCACCCTTATTATATATCATTTTATTCAGGGAAACAGGGCTTTCATTTAATATCAAATATTTAGCTATGAAACATAATTTAATATGAAAAAAATGGGAGAAAATACGATTTTATTGGATTTTTTTAGTTCTACATGACATTTAAACGGTCAGTGTCATAATACTGTTTGCTTTTACTGCAATAAAATACACATATTTATATTCAGCAAAGTCTCACGTGTAAAACAGTACCCCCTATGTACAGGTTTTATGGCGTTTTGGGAAGTTACAGGGTCAAATATAGCGCGTTACATTTGAAATTGAAATTCGCCAGATTGGTTACGTTGCCTTTGAGACTGTATAGTAGCCCGGGAATGAAATTTACACCCATAATGGCATACCATTTGCAGTAGTAGACAACCCAAGGTATTGCAAATGGGGTATGTCCAGTCTTTTTTAGTAGCCATTTGGTCACAAACACTGGCCAAAGTTAGCGTTAGTATCTGTTTGTGTGAAAAATGCAAAAAAACGCCAATTTTGGCCAGTGTTTGTGACTGAGTGGCTACTAAAAAAGACTGGACATACCCTGTTTGCAATACCTTGGGTTGTCTACTATTGCAAATGGTATGCCATCATAGGGGTAATTTTCATTCTTGGGCTACCATAGGGTCTCAAAGGCAACGTAACCAATCTGGCGAACCTGTACATGAGGGGTACTGTTGTACTCGGGAGACTTCACTGAACACAAATATTTGTGTTTCAAAACAGTAAAAAGTATCATAGCAATAATATTGTCCGTTTAATGCTGTTTGTGCGTGAAAAATGCAAAAAACGTCACTTTTACTGGCGATATCATCGTTGTAATACATTTTACTGTTTTGAAACACTAATATTTGTGTTCAGCGAAGTCTCCCGAGTAGAACAGTACCCCCCATGTACAGGTTTTATGGTGTCTCGGAAAGTTATAGGGTTAAATATAGTGCTAGCAAATTAAATTCCCTTTACTTTCGGCATGGGTTGTCATGCAGGTCCTGCTAATTGTAATTAATTAAGATACCTAATTATGTAAAAATATTACATAAATATATATGTAGAATCAATATATGTATATATATACGTATGTGTATATATATGTATATATCTATATAATTTTTTTAAAATATTTTTATTTATATATAGGTATATATATAGTGATATATACGTATATATTTATGTGTATAAATATATATATTATTTCGTTCTATGTGTATTTTGATATATATATATATATATTAATTTCACAATACAGTTAGAACGAAATAACACACATCTATATATTTTTTAATTATTTATTTTTAATTATTTTTGTAATTTTATTTTTTAACGTATTTACATTTTAATTTTTTTATAATATATATAAATATATATATAACAATAATTATATATATATTTAATCAGTATCAGTGTACGTGTAATTTGATATTAATATATATATATAATTATATATATATTAATAGTAAAATACACCTAGACGGTGTACATGTGTGTATGTATATGTGTATATATATACTTTGATCATATATATATAATATATATATATGATCTAAGTATATATTATTTATTTTTTTACACTATTTATTTATTTCATTTTTATTTTCAGCCAGCAGGGGGACCACCTGTCATTACAGGCAGCCCCCCTGCTGGCAATACAGAAGCCAGCTATCCCGGCCATGTGATTGTGGGGTCCTCGCTAGGACCCCACTCTCACACGGCCGGGGGGCTTCCTGGAGGACGGTCGTGCCGCGGGGGGCTCCCTGGGAGTCCCCCCCACCGCGATCGCCGGCGTGGGACCGCCGGCGACCGGGTAAGTACAGAAAGACCGGAGGGCGTACTATTACGCCCGGCGGCGTTTAGAGCCGCCTATTAGAGGACGTAATAGTACGCCCTCCGGTCTTAAGGGGTTAATCCTGTAACTTTCCAAAACACCATAAAACCTGTACAAGGGGGGTACTGTTTTACTCAGGAGACTTCTCTGAACACATTTCAAAATTATAAATGGTATTAAAACGATTATATTTTCAGTAAAAGTGAAGTTTTTTGCATTTTTTTTTTTTATACACGAACGGCAATTTACGGACGATATTGTTGCAATATGTTTTGAAACACTTATGTCTGTGTTCAGTGAAGTCTCAAAGTAGAACAGTACCCCCTATGTACAGGTTTAATGGTGTTTTGGAAAGTTAAAGAGTCAAATATGTGGCTTGCATTTCATTTTTTTTAACATTGAAAGTTGCCAGTTTGGTAATTTTGCCTTTGAGACCATATGGTAGCCCAGGAATGAGAAGTACCCCCATGATTGCATACCATTTGCAAAAGTAGACAACAAAAGGTATTGCAAATGAGGTATGTCTAGCAAAGGAGCAGAACAAGGAGATCACAGCTCCTTCGCTACCCGCTTCCACTGTTCCCCAGCCAAACGCCCACTGGACCCCAAGAGAAAGGCAGTGTTTACATTGCTACCAGACAGCCACTAGAAGTGCTTCCTACGTTCAGTGTTAACATGCTCTGGGGAGATGCTGATTGGTGCAGTACAGAGTTTTGCAATGCGCAATAGCCTCCCAATGCTTTCATTGGATTGGCTGAGATTAACAGTGACAATCTTAGCCAATGGAGGTAGGTCCGGCAGCAGCAAAGGATGAAAGTTGAGTAAAAAAATATTTCCCATGCTATCGGAGGGGGCTAGGGATCAACCAATATTGATTTTTTTTTTTTTAGAGCCGATGCAGATACCGCTTAGAGCAGATGCAGATACCGATAATCTGTGAACTTTAAGGCCGATAGCCGGTAACTTGATGATTTTCTGTACATTTACCATTTTGAAAAAATAAACTATTTCTTAAAGTAAACATACAAAATATACATGCCACATGTAGTGGATGCAGTGTGTTTAGAGAGGGGAGCTGTGTGTGTTTGTCTGGTGGATGCAGTGTGCGTATAGTGAATGCAGTGTTTGTGCAGTGTGCGTATAGCGAATGCAGTGTGCGTATAGCGAATGCAGTGTGCGTTTGTGTAGTGTGCATTTGTGTTTCTGAAGGGATGTAATTTTTGTAAAATTTTTATTTTATTTTTAATATTTATAGGTTTGATTTTTTTTTGTCCTCCCTCCCTATTACCTGGCCAGGGAGGGGGGCTATGGCATTCCCTGGTGGTCCAGTGGCATGTACTGAGCAGTGGAGGGCCCGCAGGAAGCTCTTACTTACCTTTCCAACAGCTCTCTTCCTCTCCCTGTGTAAATCTTGCGGTCTGTGAGCCGCGCGGAGCGTTGCCATGGTAATCCGTGGGACTCGCGAGATTTAGACAGGGAGCTGCAGTAAAGGTAAGTAAAAGCTTCCTGCGGGCCATCCAGGACCTCTGGGCGTGTCATGAGCCTGGCGGTCCTGAGAGGTATTATCTGCAATATCGGTATCTATATTGACGGATACCGGTATAGCCGAAAAAACTGAATATCGGCCAATAATATCGGTAAAACCGATTGTAACGGATCACCTGGCACCCCGACTGGGTACCTCCATTGAAGGATGCTCCTAGCGCTTCCTGAGGACTCCAAGCACTGCACTGGACACCATTACCACCATAAACTCCTTCAGAAAGCAAAACAGGAACAAGCTCTTACAAGAATATAACGAGAGTATGCAGAGCATAGCAATCCCTTGTAGCAGATTCCCCCAATAAGAGACGGCACTCCAAATTGAGGGTGAAGTAGAGCTGAAGCTTTTAATCAAACACTCTGCTTTTATGCACATTTTACCCTCATAGTAATGCCCACAGGGTTTTGCAGAAAAACCAATCAATACGTACAATACACTCAAACACTCCCACACAAAATCCTCCCCTCTGCCTGTGATACCGATAAATCGGTCGAACCCTACTAGTCACCTTAACAGACTCACTCAATAACACATTTATTTTATTTTAATTCAAGTCCACCCAGTCTGCCTACCTTTGGGAAAGCTGGAGTAGATCCTTTCCCTAGGATCCAGTGTGGAGCTGCTGTCCCATTCCTGGTCTTTTTGCTCTGCTCCCGCATATGATGGAGTGATGTAATATTCTGGTATCAACAGGTATCACAGCAGGAAAAGCAAGGGAGCAGAGGATCACAACTCCCTCACCCAGCCGCCTTCCCATTCCCTGGGCTGACTGCTTGGCTTCACATGCCCTATGGCTGCTGCCTTTAGTGCTGAACAGGCTGACACACAGGCACCAGGAAACAATTACTAGTCACCAAGACGACCAATTTTTATTTCTTAAATCCTGTTCTATAGAAAAAAATATATATATATATATATATCTAGTAACTAAGCTAGCACAATGTATAAAAGTGTATGCAGTAAAGTACCATGATTTCAGTTTTGCATTGTGGTTTAAAACCAATGCCAGCTCTGAATGCACTCCCTTTGACTGTCACCAAAAACAAACCATATCTAACATGCTTGAAAATAGCCATGTGTGATTCTTTTTTCCTGAGCACTGTTTTCATACAATACATTAAAAGTTGGGACTACTTTGCCATGTGAATAGCAGATAAACTGACAATGGGCAGGATCTAAAGCAAGGTTTCTGTTGCCAAATATACCCACAATCAGTAAAGTCGTTCTCACAAAAAGGCAAAAAGCAGACACAATGGGCAGAGGGTAACAACATGGCTGTGCCCAGGTATTGAGATCTGGCACAAGGAAGAAGATATAAAATAAAATACAGGCATGTGGAAAGGGCAGCTTGTAATCATTAAGCTACATTGACAGAAGGAAACAAAAACCATAAGGAGAAACCATGACCGGCTCACTTTAAATCTCTGTGGTCAATAAATACATAGGATGACAAAAACAAGCCTGTAATGTTTCAGTCTTTTTTTTTTTTTTAAGGAACACACCAAGCACCAAACCTAATACAACCCACTGCAGTGGTTAGAGTGCTCCTTTAAGACCACCATTCATGATATGTTCACCTGCAGTTTATAGATGTTTTACGTCGCTCCATATTATTGCACCCGACACATTTAGCCTTTAACAGTCATCACATAGCAGATCATAAGTTTAATTGCTTAAACCACAAAACAAATAGTTAGTTCAAGGGTTACTCTCACCAAAAACCAACTGGTTGGGAGGGTTCAAAGTGCTTAGAGTAACCTTACACAGAGAACTAATTGTTTGAAGTCCCAAAAAAACATTACTCCTGCTATATTGACCCTGAAACAAGAAGCTGCCAAATCTCCATGTAACAGGAGACTGGAGAATACTGCTAAACACTGAATGGCCATAAAGATCCGAGCGTAATGTACAGGTAACGAAGGCCGGATACCTGAAAATGGCAAACGTTACCTACTGCTTGCAAACCAAATTCATTGCAACATGTAACCAGCAATTTTACAACTCCAGTACCCTTTCATTGACTTCCACACTATTAACTTTGTGTCTAAACATGAGAAGTCCTGCAGAGCCCATCTCATACACAGGTCTAAGTTACGCTTATTGGCCCATTCCGCAATAAGAAGCACACAAGCCTAAACAGTGAACACAGTGACAGTATCTCCCATTCCGCAATAGGAATCACACAATCCCAAACAGTGAATGAAGTGACAGTATCTCCCATTCTGCAATAGGAATCACACAATCCCAAACAGGGACAATATCTCCCATTCTGCAATAGGAATCACACAATCCCAAACAGGGACCATATCTCCCATTCCGCAATAGGAATCACACAATCCCAAACAGGGACAATATCTCCCATTCCGCAATAGGAATCACACAATCCCAAACAGGGACAATATCTCCCATTCCGCAATAGGAAGCACACAATCCCAAACAGTGAATGCAGTGACAGTATCTCCCATGTTACTGGGCCATAAACCACACAGTTCCATATAATACATTGACAGTATCTCCCATGTTACTGGGCCATATACAGTCCCATACAATGCAGTGGTAGTATCTTCCATGTTACTGATCCATACACAGTCCCCATACAGTGAATGCAGTGACAGTATCTCCCATGTTACTGGGCCATACACACAGTCCCATACAGGGACAGTATCTCCCATCTTACTGGGCCATACACACACAGTCCCATACAGTGAATGCAGTGACAGTATCTCCCATGTTACTGGGCCATACACACACAGTCCCATAGAGTGAAAGCAGTGACAGTATCTCCCATGTTACTGGGCCATAGACACACAGTCCCATACAGTGACAATATCTCCCATGTTACTGGGCCATACACACACAGTCCCATAGAGTGAATGCAGTGACAGTATCTCCCATGTTACTGGGCCATACACACAGTCCCATACAGTAAATGCAGTGACAGTATCTCCCATGTTACTGGGCCATACACACACAGTCCCATACAATGCAGTGGTAGTATCTCCCATGTTACTGGGCCATACACACAAAGTCCCATAGAGTGAATGCAGTGACAGTATCTCCCATGTTACTGGGCCATACACACACAGTCCCATAGAGTGAATGCAGTGACAGTATCTCCCATGTTACTGGGCCATACACACAGTCCCATACAGTGAATGCAGTGACAGTATCTCCCATGTTACTGGGCCATACACACACAGTCCCATAGAGTGAATGCAGTGACAGTATCTCCCATGTTACTGGGCCATACACACAGTCCCATACAGTGAATGCAGTGACAGTATCTCCCATGTTACTGGGCCATACACACACAGTCCCATACAATGCAGTGGTAGTATCTCCCATGTTACTGGGCCATACACACAAAGTCCCATAGAGTGAATGCAGTGACAGTATCTCCCATGTTACTGGGCCATACACACAGTCCCATAGAGTGAATGCAGTGACAATATCTCCCATGTTACTGGGCCATACACACAGTCCCATACAGTGACAATATCTCCCATGTTACTGGGCCATACACACAGTCCCATAGAGTGAATGCAGTGACAGTATCTCCCATGTTACTGGGCCATACACACAGTCCCATAGAGTGAATGCAGTGACAGTATCTCCCATGTTACTGGGCCATACACACAGTCCCATACAGTGAATGCAGTGACAGTATCTCCCATGTTACTGGGCCATACACACACAGTCCCATACAATGCAGTGGTAGTATCTCCCATGTTACAGTCCCATAGAGTGAATGCAGTGACAGTATCTCCCATGTTACTGGGCCATACACACACAGTCCCATAGAGTGAATGCAGTGACAGTATCTCCCATGTTACTGGGCCATACACACAGTCCCATACAGTGAATGCAGTGACAGTATCTCCCATGTTACTGGGCCATACACACAGTCCCATACAGTGAATGCAGTGACAGTATCTCCCATGTTACTGGGCCATACACACAGTCCCATACAGTGAATGCAGTGACAGTATCTCCCATGTTACTGGGCCATACACACAGTCCCATACAATGCAGTGGTAGTATCTCCCATGTTACTGGGCCATACACACACAGTCCCATAGAGTGAATGCAGTGACAGTATCTCCCATGTTACTGGGCCATACACACAGTCCCATACAGTGAATGCAGTGACAGTATCTCCCATGTTACTGGGCCATACACACAGTCCCATACAGTGAATGCAGTGACAGTATCTCCCATGTTACTGGGCCATACACACACAGTCCCATACAATGCAGTGGTAGTATCTCCCATGTTACAGTCCCATAGAGTGAATGCAGTGACAGTATCTCCCATGTTACTGGGCCATACACACACAGTCCCATAGAGTGAATGCAGTGACAGTATCTCCCATGTTACTGGGCCATACACACAGTCCCATACAGTGAATGCAGTGACAGTATCTCCCATGTTACTGGGCCATACACACAGCCCCATACAGTGAATGCAGTGACGGTATCTCCCATGTTACTGGGCCATACACACAGTCCCATACACAGTGAATGCAGTGACAGTATCTCCCATGTTACTGAGCCCCACACACAGTCCTATACAGAGAATGCAGTGACAGTATCTCCCATGTTACTGGGCCATACACACACAGTCCCATACAGAAAATGCAGTGACAGTATCTCCCATGTTACGGGGCCATACACACACAATGCCATACAGATAATGCAGTGACAGTATCTCCCATGTTACGGGGCCATACACACACAATCCCATACAGATAATGCAGTGACAGTATCTCCCATGTTACTGGGCCATACACACAGTCCCATAGAGTGAATGCAGTGACAATATCTCCCATGTTAAAGGGCCATACACACAGTCCCATACACAGTGAATGCAGTGACAGTATCTCCCATGTTACTGGGCCATACACAGTCCTATACAGTGAATGCAGTGACAGTATCTCCCATGTTACTGGGCCATACACACACAGTCCTATACAGAGAATGCAGTGACAGTATCTCCCATGTTACTGGGCCACACACACACAGTCCCATACACAGTGAATGCAGTGACGGTATCTCCCATGTTACTGGGCCATACACACAGTCCCATACACAGTGAATGCAGTGACAGTATCTCCCATGTTACTGGGCCATACACAGTCCTATAAAGTGAATGCAGTGACAGTATCTCCCATGTTACTGGCCATACACACACAGTCCCATACAGTGAATGCAGTGACAGTATCTCCCATAAAACACACATACACACACAGTCCCATACAGTGAATGCAGTGACAGTATCTCCCATGTTACTGGGCCATACACACACAGTCCCATAGAGTGAATGCAGTGACAGTATCTCCCATGTTACTGGGCCATACACCATACACACAGTCCCACACAGTGAATGCAGAGACAGTATCTCCCATGTTACTGGGCCATACACCATAGACACAGTGAATGCAGTGAAAATATCTCCCATGTTACTGGGCCATACACACAGTCCCATCCAGTGAATGCAGTGACAATAACTCCCATGTTACTGGGCCATACACACACAGTCCTATACAGAGAATGCAGTGACAGTATCTCCCATGTTACTGGGCCACACACACACAGTCGCATACAGTGAATGCAGTGACGGTATCTCCCATGTTACTGGGCCATACACACAGTCCTATAAAGTGAATGCAGTGACAGTATCTCCCATGTTACTGGGCCATACACACACAGTCCCATAGAGTGAATGCAGTGACAGTATCTCCCATGTTACTGGGCCATACACCATACACACAGTCCCACACAGTGAATGCAGAGACAGTATCTCCCATGTTACTGGGCCATACACCATAGACACAGTGAATGCAGTGAAAATATCTCCCATGTTACTGGGCCATACACACAGTCCCATCCAGTGAATGCAGTGACAATATCTCCCATGTTACTGGGCCATACACACAGTCCCATACAGTGAATGCAGTGACAGTATCTCCCATGTTACTGAGCCCCACACACAGTCCTATACAGAGAATGCAGTGACAGTATCTCCCATGTTACTGGGCAATACACACACAGTCCCATACAGAAAATGCAGTGACAGTATCTCTCATGTTACGGGGCCATACACACACAATCCCATACAGATAATGCAGTGACAGTATCTCCCATGTTACGGGGCCATACACACACAGTCCCATCCAGTGAATGCAGTGACAATATCTCCCATGTTACTGGGCCATACACAGTCCCATACAGTGAATGCAGTGACAGTATCTCCCATGTTACTGGGCCATACACACAGTCCCATACAGTGAATGCAGTGACAGTATCTCCCATGTTACTGAGCCCCACACACAGTCCTATACATGTTACGGGGCCATACACAGTCCTATACAGTGAATGCAGTGACAGTATCTCCCATGTTACTGGGCCACACACAGTCCTATAAAGTGAATGCAGTGACAGTATCTCCCATGTTACTGGGCCGTACACACAGTCCCATACAGTGAATGCAGTGACCATATCTCCCATGTTACTGGGCCATACACACAGTCCCATACAGTGAAGGCAGTGACAGTATCTCCCATGTTACTGGGCCATACACACAGTCCCATACAGTGAATGCAGTGACAGTATCTCCTACTTTACTGGGCCATACACACACAGTCCCATACAGTGAATGCAGTGACAGTATCTATACAGTGAATGCAGTGACAGTATCTCCCATGTTACGGGGCCATACACCATACACACAGTCCTATACAGTGAATGCAGTGACAGTATCTCCCATGTTACTGGGCCATACACACAGTCCTATACAGTGAATGCAGTGACAGTATCTCCCATGTTACTGGGCCATACAAACAGTCTCATAAAGAGAATGCAGTGACAGTATCTCCCATGTTACTGGGCCATACACACAGTCCCATACAGTGAATGCACTGACAGTATCTCCCATGTTACTGGGCCATACACACAGTCCCATAGAGTGAATGCAGTGACAGTATCTCCCATGTTACTGGGCCATACACACAGTCCCATACAGTGAATGCAGTGACAGTATCTCCCATGTTACTGGGCCATACACACAGTCCCATACAATGCAGTGGTAGTATCTCCCATGTTACTGGGCCATACACACACAGTCCCATAGAGTGAATGCAGTGACAGTATCTCCCATGTTACTGGGCCATACACACACAGTCCCATACAGTGAATGCAGTGACAGTATCTCCCATGTTACTGGGCCATACACCATACACACAGTCCCACACAGTGAATGCAGTGACAGTATCTCCCATGTTACTGGGCCTATTGGTAGGAAGTGACAGTACAATGCACCCAGGGCTATGGCAGGCCTGTTATAATAGTATTAATAATAATACCCACTCCTGGAAGGCTTCTTGCTGCAGTGAGAGGGGGGCAGGTAACACACCGGATCCTTACTGGCCCATTCCGTCTGTAAGGCTGACAGCATTCTCTGAGGGGGAACCTCTTCAGAACTGGATGTAATCACCATCGATAAGTCCGATCCACAAGTCAATCCAAACAAGACATGGGATAATCGGTCACAGCGAGTCAGGGATCCTGAGAGCCAGGAGGGGTGTCCTGTCTACTAAGGTTTCGGCCGGCCGGCCAGTCAGGTTATCCGGTAAAGGTTTCAGCCGGCCGGTCAGTCAGGATATCCGGTAAATGTTTCGACCGGTCAGTCAGGATATTCGGTAAAGGTGTCGGTCAGTCAGTCGGTATATTCGGTAAAGGTTTCGGTCAGTCAGGATATTCGGTAAAGGTTTCGGTCAGTCAGTATATTCGGTAAAGGTTTCGGTCGGTCAGTCAGGATATTCGGTAAAGGTTTCGGTCGGTCAGTCAGTATATTCGGTAAAGGTTTCGGTCGGTCAGTCAGGATATTCGGTAAAGGTTTCGGTCAGTCAGGATATTCGGTAAAGGTTTCGGTCGGTCAGTCAGGATATTCGGTAAAGGTTTCGGCCGGTCAGTCAGGATATTCGGTAAAGGTTTCGGTCAGTCAGGATATTCGGTAAAGGTTTCGGTCAGTCAGGATATTCGGTAAAGGTTTCGGTCAGTCAGTATATTCGGTAAAGGTTTCGGTCGGTCAGTCAGGATATTCGGTAAAGGTTTCGGTCAGTCAGGATATTCGGTAAAGGTTTCGGTCGGTCAGTCAGGATATTCGGTAAAGGTTTCGGCCGGTCAGTCAGGATATTCGGTAAAGGTTTCGGTCAGTCAGGATATTCGGTAAAGGTTTCGGTCAGTCAGGATATTCGGTAAAGGTTTCGGTCAGTCAGTATATTCGGTAAAGGTTTTGGCCGGTCAGTCAGGATATTCGGTAAAGGTTTCGGTCAGTCAGTATATTCGGTAAAGGTTTCGGTCGGTCAGTCAGGATATTCGGTAAAGGTTTCGGTCAGTCAGGATATTCAGTAAAGGTTTCGGTCGGTCAGGATATTCAGTAAAGGTTTCGGCCGGTCAGTCAGGATATTCGGTAAAGGTTTCGGCCGGTCAGTCAGGATATT